ATATATCCCTAAATAGATCCTTGATTACTATATAATACTCATAATTTTGATAAATATATGTGTCATTTATGTAACTGATCTGTCAGACTTGTGTCTCCAACTGATATAAAAATATAATAGTGTATTGGAAATAATCACTGACCAAGGAATCAAATGAAATATGTAGGAATTTTGTCAAAACCACAAAATAACTGGATAATCAGAAATGTTTTCTTCATATCTCAAAACCTCATATATCTCCAATGGGAAAGGATTTAAATTATATGACCATATCTCACAGTTGTTTCTGTTTTGAAGATACATAGATCTATTTGTGTGGAACTATTTTGTTGATTACAAATTATATAATAAGGTACTAAAATCAATCACAGCTACTTGTTTTATATGCCTGAAAAACAAGAATGAAATTATTAAAATACTTTATCTGTGTTTAAACTGTGGGGATAAGAAATGATAATATAATTTAATTTTGGATGCGGATTTTATATGCTGAACATCTACTTAATTATACTAATGCACATTTTTTCTTGATTCACAAATAGCCAAAAGCCATTTTTCTCAAATGCAATTGAAATATAATTAAGGGGACAGGGAATAATAATAAAACTAGCTACAGTTTTTAAAGTTATAAAGATTTAAGTGAATTCTCTGGTTACAAAATCAAAGTTAAACCAAATTTAAAATATTGCACTTTATAATGCATCTGATAGTATTTATTTATCAACAAAAAATGTGATTAAAATGCAGCGCATTTAAGGCTGATAGAGGTAATTAAACATAGAAAATTTAATAATCAGCTTGTTGCTATTGAATGATTAAAGGATATGAAGAATTTTTAATAAAATCTATGGGAATAGGTTTTATTTCCTAAATGTAAAGAATTATGTGAAGAATTATAAGAAAAATAAAGTAGATATTGCGTAAAAGGGCTTCAAAGTTCAAACAATCTACCATTTGTACCAATCATGTTGTGGAATTTATATTTAATTCCATGTTATACAAATTTTTTATGAATATTACTCCTACTTCACTGCAGATTGTAGTCTATTTGTTAGGGAAAAAACAGCATCTTTTATTTTTTAATTTATTTTTATTTAATTTTTTGGGGTGACATTGGTTAATAGGAGCATTCTTTTAAAAGACACATTTCCTCCCAGTTCAACTCTTTCTATATCTCTATTAACTTGTTTATGGAATGGAATATTAAATTAATCAATGTATTTGATCCCAGGCTCAAACAGGATTATCCATTTTATGCATGAATCATCAACCAATTAATTTTATAAATACATATTAAGTACCTACTGCATGTCAATAACTGTTTTATACAAGGCACAGTCATTTATGAAATACCTCACCACCATACAAGTTACATTATAAGAAGTGGAAAGAGTCAATAACCATAGAATCCACTAAATGAAAGAGATAATCAAAATTCATGGTAAAGGATATTAAGAAAATAAATGTATGTTATGAAGTAAATCAACAGAGACTGAGTGGGGTAAGCTATTTTTGAAAAAAGTTGTCTAGAAGACTTCTCAAAAAAGCTACATATCACACAGAGACTGAAAATGAGATGGTTGTGGGTGAGCCAGGTAAGATGGTCTCAGGTCAGAGTGCCAGTAAAGACAAAAACCCTGAACTGGGCAAGTGATTAAAGCACAGGAAGGAGGCATCCAGGCGAGCACATGTGGAACAACGTTCCTTAGCAGCAATATAGTTCCTATCGCAAGTATTGTCATCAGTCATGCAGAATTCAAATCCTGGATGCCCTCTACCTCTCCACAGGTGCCTTCTACCCTGTGATATTAGTAAGCTGTTTTAACAAGCAAAGCCTCAGCTTAATCTTCCATCTAACACAGCTATCCTCTCTTTATAATAATTGCTGAGATGAAAGTTAAATAAAAACCATTCGAGAAAAGACTCAGCAAACTGCCTAGAATACAGAGGGCAAGTTAGAACAAATGTTGGTTGCCAGCATCCAGCATCATAGAAGTTAGTAGGTTGAGCCCAAGTCCAATGGCTTACCTTGATTTAATTCTCAATGCTTCTGTCTGCTTATATAACCTTGGGCAGTCATTGAACCTCTTTGCCCCTCAGTTGCCTCATAATAATATAAGGAACTATATAAGACTCTGCTTTAAAGGGTTGTCATAAGTATATAAATTAAATGATATGACAGTGAATCCTTTCCTTTCTACTGTTAATTACGCCAAAGTGTTGTTGGCAGTAGCAGTACAAAAATTGCTTCTTTATTTTGACCAAGAATAGCAAAAAACTTGATTATTTTTCTAACAGAAATTCTTTTCACCCAGTGAATGGCTTAATCATCACACAATTCAGAAATTAAGAATCTAAGAATTATATTTTGTTTCTCATTTTTTTTCACTCTCCATAATGACCAATACACGAGACGGCAGTATTTAATCTTGTGACTATGTGGACTTTATCTATGCTTAGGTCTGGTGTTCCAGAAACAAACACTGAGGTGTGGATTCATGTGCAAGTGATTGGTAATAAACTGCTTCGATGTCAGGAAGCCAGGGAGACAGTGGGAAAATGAAAGACGGGGGGATTATCCAAATAACGTGCGTCATTAGTCAAAGTTCCAGCCCCTGCATGATTCTGCAGGGGAGCTCTGGGATATAAGTAACATGTAGGTTTTCATATCTCTGCACCTGTTAGAAAATGGCTCAGGGATTTTGTGGGAGGTTATTGTAAAGTTTGTGGGAGATGATTGCAGACACTTTAGGCTCCCTCTGCATGTGGGCAAAGTGGCTCCGGTAGCCAAAGGAAGTTCTCCAATGAGAGCTGCAGGTGCAGGCCATTAGAAGAAGCAAAAGCATACAAAACCTGCCGTGTGTGTCGTACGGGTGTGTGTGTGTGTGTGTGTGTGTGTGTGTGTGTGT